GTAAGCGCTTAATGTTAACTCTCACCACCATCCACACCACCACCATCACCATCATCATCATCACCATCGTCTCTGCTGTTATTGGTACAATTCCTAAACTTATAAATCCAGGGGTCAGATTGGGCTCCACACAAAATAAACATTTATTTAAAAGAGGAAAAAAAGCCAAAACCGGTTTGGCTCAGTGGATAGAGCATCAGCCTGCAGACTCTAAGGTCCCAGGTTCGATTCTGGTCAAGGGCATGTACCTTGGTTGCAGGCACATCCCCGGTAGGGGGTGTGCAGGAGGCAGCTGGTCGATGTTTCTCTCTCATCAATGTTTCTGGCTCTCTATCCCTCTCCCTTCCTCTCTGTAAAACAAATTTAAAAAGTAAAACATAAAAAAAAATCAATAAAATATATTTTAAAAAAATAAAATGTCTGCCAGTGAATCTAAGACCTAGGCCTGGAGTGTATCTCCTCTTCAAACACCACAGGGTTGCGAAAGAAGCATAAAGGCTGTGAGACCTTGGGGGTCAAGGAGCTGGCGGAGAGCAAGGGCAGATAAGCCTGTCAGCAGGGTGGTGGGTTCTGGTTCTCGTGTCTTTTCTTCATTTGGTGCCTCCTCCTGTGCCCCATCACCCCCCACACCCACCCCTACACCCCTCACCTTGCAAATTGGTTTCCTTCTGCACAGAGGGGACACCATCTCCACTTAAGCCCGCCGCTGTTCCTTGCTGTCTTCAAGTTTTTCTACAGAAAAGTATGTGGTCAGAGGAAAGTTATTTGCTACCTAGAGCTCCCTCTGCTGATGCGCGGGCTGGACGGTTGGCTAGAAGCTAGAAAACCTGCGGTTTCAGAAGCACAGCTGGGTGACTGGCAGGGCATGTCGCCTACCTATGCCGGTGGTCTGATCAAAAGCTGTTTCCTTTTCTTGGGTGCAGTTTTGGGGGAGGGGGTACACTGATGCGTGTCCACAGCCCCGTGTCCTTCAGGGGTGTCTGGGGGCTTTCGGCATCCCGCCTCCTCTGACCTCCTGTGCCCAGGTTGCGCTTTTAGAGAGAACCAGGGGTTCCTGGCGATAGGAAGGTGCTCTGTGCATAACTCCCCCACCGACACTCAGGAACACGTACCATCAGGAACAGGTGTTTATTATTTCTGTTTGACACGGAAGTGAAAACCAGGGGGAGGTTTTTACATTTTTAAGAGCAAAGTCGGGGTCAATTGGTAGAGTCTGGGTAAAAACAGGTTCTAATATAAAACAGGAACAGACACATGCTTAAGATATTTCTAACAACCCACATGTTTGGCTAAATGTGAAGTTTATTGAACTGCAGGAGAAGGTATGCATTGCTCTAGCTCCCCAGCCTCTCCTGTCAGGACCACTGGAGGGAGGGGAGAGCGAGTTCTTTACAGACCAGCCTCCCAGCAATGGCCAGGCTGACATTCCTTCAGCTCTGCCACTGGCCAGTGCCAACGTTTCCTACGAAATCTACAACACCTCTTACATCCAATACCCAGGTCCCCTGCACCCCGCCCCCCCCCTCCCCAGCCTTAGGACATTCTTTGTCTCCACCTTTTACAGATTAGAATATTGAGGCTCAACCATGTCCCGCAAATTCCTTAAAATCACAACAAAAAAGTCCCAGAGATGCCGATGGCATCTGCAAACTTGTAAGCACCACACCATGATCCACCCACTCCACCAGCTGGTGTTTATTCCACACCCCAAGTTTACTCAGTGCTCTGAACTCTCCCAAGAGCCAGAGAGAGCAGGGTTTAATTGAGAAGAGAGATTAACTGCCCCTGAAGTCTTCTATAAAAATAAAGGATTAGGATTTAGTGCCACTTCCTCCAGGCAGCCTGCCCTGACTACCCTTCCCCCTTCTGATATATCTGGGCATTCATCATTAACACTGCCCTCCTGTTATTAAAGAAACAGGAAATACCTAACATTGGTTGAGCACTTACTATGTGCCAGTCCCTATAGAAAAAAAATATTTTAATTGTTTTAATCCTTATAAGAAATCCTTATATGATTATCCCTGTTATAACCCCCTATTTTACACATGATGAGGAAACTGAGGCATAGAGAAGGTAAATGAAGAGAAGACTCCCCTTTTCCTGGTTTCCCTCATAACCCCTGGCATAGAGCTGGCACCCCAGGAGCTCAAGCAGACTGGCTGACTGGTTTACTCTCCTGGAGCTTGAAGGTGACGGTGAAGGGAACCTAAGGGTGGGGGGTGGGGTGGGGAGGGAAGCCCACAACTCAGTTGGAACTTCCTTAGAGATCTGGCTCTCAGTGAAGGCGAGAGTAGGAACCATATTTAAAGAGAAAAATTCCTCGGGGAATCTTCTTCATATCTATATTTCACTTGCCCAATGGGATGCCTGGTGCATAATAGGGTCCAATACATCCGTGTTGAATGACTAAATAAGCTTAGAAATTCTAAAGAAACTTGCTGCTGTTGCTAAGGCAGCTGCTGCTGCCAGGGTCTCAGGCAGTGCTTTGGCGCTGTCTTCTGCATCACGCTCCACAAGGATGCTTGAGGCGCTGTGGGCCTTGGGGCCAGAAGATGGTCTCAGTGACCCTGGGAGCTTGCCTTCCCACTCTGCTATCTCAGGTGATGTTTAGCCTCCCATAAGCTGTTTATGGCACCCATAACCTGCCCTGGAGCTTTTAAACCTCCTTCTCGCGTGGCTTTTTACAAGTTGAAATAAACAACTCTTTCTCTCCAGGGACTTGGGGGCCTGGATCCTTAACCTCACTCCTTCAGCCTGTGGCCCCGAGGGAGCTGAACCAGAGCCAGAGCGTGTGCCCCAAAGGACTGTGGTTAACACATTGCGTGCAGGAAGTAGATAACATCATTGCTGCTTAGAGGAAAACTGCAGCCCAGACCTTGAAGCAAAAATGGTCTTCAGGGGGAGGGGGTGGAGATAGGGGAGGAGAGGGGAGGAGGTGGGAGGAGTGCCCAGAGTCCCCAGCCTCTGCTGGGAATGGGCAGCTCTGTGAGGACACTGAGGAAGAGTTCTGGGGGCCGTCTCCTCCAATCCCTCGCTCGGCATTACAGAACCTGCAGGCCTGGGAGGGACTGACTGGCCCGATGCTGTGTTAGCACCACGGTGGCTGCACGGAATAGATAATGGTGGCTCCCTCCCCTGTACTGATCCTGCCTTCCCAGGAGATCCTGATCCAGGGAGCTGGCTTCTCCCTGGAGCCAGAGGCGATGTGTGGGACCTTGGCCAGGCTGATCAGCTCATTCTATCTTCCTGGCCGCAGTGCTTGGTTTAGGGGCGATCTATGATGTGAAGCTGGTTCAGAGGGAATCTCTGGGCCTGTGAGGGGAATGCTGGGAAATGGGAAATACTGCCCGCCTTCTGCTGGGCTGGCAATGAGTGAAGGATGCCAGTAGTCTCAGCAATGCATTCCAGGCCCATGCGAAGAGAGAACCTCAGGAGGAAGCAGGCCCCGCGAAAGGCAGAGAGGAGAGATGGAGAGAAAAGGAACCCTAGGCCAGAGCTCTGAGTTGCTAGACCAAACCTCATTTTCATGGCAGTCACTCCGGCCCCACCCTCATGAAGCCATAGCACTTTATGCTCATTTCTGAAGAGACATCAACCTCGCTGGGTTTTAATGACTGACACCCGACTTGGTGAAGGGGAGACAGCCTTACTCACCTGTGGATGCCCCCACCTGTGTCTGACGCAATTGGATGTTCACGGACTCTCGTGGTATGAACAAAATGATCTCTTTCCCCTCCTTGCCTCCTTCTCAGATAGATTCTCTTTATTCCTCCACTGTCTTCTTTTTACAAATAAGGATGAGGTTTAAAAGCACAGGGGACAAGATGCAACACACTCGTTTCGAGTCCCCAATTCGCAAACTGGGGGTTTGACCTGCTATCTGTATTCTCCTGGTGTTAATCCCTGCCCTCATCCTGCCTGTGTGTTCAGGGCTGCTGTGTAGAAAGCCTTGGACAAGAGGACAAGGGAGGGGAAGACGGGAAGACTGAGTCAGAGAAGGCTGGGGATGAAACTCAAATCCTTTGGGATCCCCAGTCTAACCTCACTGACAGAGGAGGGAAGCTCAGGCCCAGAGAGGCGCTCTCCTGGCTCAAGGTCACAGGAATAGTCCAGCCCAAATGGAAAAGAACTTCATGGCAAGACCTGCTCCCCATCGAGCTGAACTCTGCCCGGCTGGAAGGCAGGCTTTGGAAGAAGGACCTGGTGGGAGGCTCAGGTGCCAGACTGTGGGACTTGGATCCTGTGAAGGTTGAGAAACTCCACACGGTCTCCCTTTCCCCAGGAAAGCTGCTAGCTCACCAACTGGGGTTGGAGTCTCTTGGCTTGTGCGTCCTCAGGGAGCAAAGGAGTGACTCAAGGAAGCACTTAGGACATCCTTGGCTCTAGGGGGTGGGTGTGATTCAGAAGTCACTCACAGTCAGAGGCTCATCCACAGCCTCCTCCCTGCCCCTTCCCGCCGCCCGGGGATCCAAGGATCCTCCGCGTGAGACACTTGCGTGGCTCTGACACTCCTCACGTCTCCACCTGCCAGGCGGTCTTTGTGCGCGGAGAGCATCCCGGACCCGCAAACTCCAGGGCGGGCAGCCTGCTCCACTCCTCCTGCCTCCTGCTCGCTCCCCACAGGGAAGGCAGGATCTCAGGACCCCCAGATCTTACCCGCCCGCCTCCCTCCCCGGATCCTGAGCGGGCCCACCCTCACCCAAAGCTCCCTCGGCTTTTCTGCCCCCCTCTCCCCCCAAACCCCTCACCCCAGCCTCGTTTTCTCCGCCGCGGGAACCTTCCTTCCCCCTACCCCCTTCTCACTCCTGTCCTAGCGGGGGTCTGCCCTGTCTGCCTGCCCCCACCCCCTTCCTTTCCCTCCTTTTCCTCCCTCCCTCGCTCCGCCCCAGGCCCCGCCCCTCTCCACCCCGGCCCGCGACCCCCGAGCCCGCCCCCCGCCCCTCCGGGGGAGGCGGTGGGAGGGGAAGCCCCGCGGGCCGGCCCCCCTGTCCCTGCGCGCGGATCCCCGCGCGCCGGCGCCCCCCGCGCGGCCTCCCGCGCCCGCCTCCCGCCCCCCTCCTCCCGGTGACGTCCGGGTCCCTGCCCGTCTGAAAACTCCGCGCCGCGGCGGCGGTGGAGGCGGCGGCAGCGGCGGCGGCGGCGGCGGCGGCGGAGGAGGAGCAGCGGCGAGCCGAGGCGGCGGCAGCGGCCCGAGCGGGAGCCCTAGCGGCGGCCGCGGGAGGCACGGGGAGCGCGCGGGCGGCCCGGAGCCCCGGGTCCCCGCGCCCCGCTCGCCCGCCCGCCCGCCGCGCTCCGCTCCGAAGATGGTGGCGGCGCCGTGCGCCCGGAGGCTGGCCCGGCGGTCGCACTCGGCGCTGCTGGCGGCGCTCACGGTGCTGCTGCTGCAGACGCTGGTCGTGTGGAATTTCAGCAGCCTGGACTCCGGGGCCGGCGAGCGCCTCGCCGAGCAGCCGCCCCCGGCGCCGGCCCCGCGCCGCGAGCGCCGGGACCTGCCCGCCGCGCCGGCTGCAGCCCGCGGAGGAGGCGGCGGCGGCGGCGGCCGCGGAGCTCGGGGGCCCCCGGCGCGGGCGCGGGCGGGCGGCGCCGGAGGAGCCCGGGCGCAGCAGCTGGTCGGGCGCGGGGCGCTGGTAAGATGCCCCCTTTTCGCCTGGTGTCCGGGGAGGGGAGGAAGGGAGGCAGCCGAGCAGCCCCGGCCCCACGCCCTCCCCCGCCCCAACCCCTGGCGCCCTGATCTCCAGACTGGGACTCCCCCAGCCTGCTGGCTCCGCGTCCCTTTGGAAGGAGGGGGGTGGGGTGCCTGACACGGCTTAGGGGCCAGGGGCTGCCCCATCCCGAGTCTAAGGACTGGCCCACTTAGGGTCTGGGGAAGTTCTCTCCGGCGGAGGCGCTTTGGGGGTGACGGGAGCTGGCGGGGTGCCTGCTGCTCCTCGTCACTCTTTCTGGACGCTCCGACTTGCTCAGTGCCTGTGGGTGCCGGTGCCTCGGACCCTGTCTGAGGGAGTGGATGGTGCCCGCGATCCTCAGCCGCGGCTCGCCGTGGCCGTGGCTCTCTCTCGCAGCATCTCGGTTTGCAGCGAGCCGGGCGCAGACAACTAGGTGCCAGCCTGCTGGCCGCCGCGTTGCTTTAGGTCTGGGTACAGGGTCCCCAGACGCCAGCCCTGTCCCTGAATCAAGACTCAGCGGAGGTGCCTAGCCTTACTTTGGGTCTTCCTCTCTCCTCTGGGTGTCTGTCTCTAACCTTGCCCTCTCCTTGTGCCCTCTCTGACCCTCCTCCCCCTGCTGCCCAGGGTCAGGGCATGGCCAGGCTCCTGGATGGTGTGGCTGGCTGGCTCTCTGTGGCAGCTCGTGGAGCTGATTGCTGTGGGCAGCTGCGTCCCGCCCTGCCATCAGGACCTGGGCCGCTCCGGGTTTCCTGTGCTCTCTGGGTGTGACAGCCTGGACTCTGACACCGCCCCTTCCATAGGTCTCCCGGAGCCCTCTGGCTGCCTTCCTCCTGTCCCCAGTGCCTCCTCCAGGGGTGTCTTGCATACCTTTTCTTGGGCTGCTTTGCTGAGCCCACTGCCCTGGGAGCCCAGCCCAGAGAACCGGAGGTCAGAGGCCCCCACGCTGGGCCAGGGTTTCAGTGCGGGTGGGTGTGTCTGTCTGAATGGCACCACCAGAGCTGTGTGTCTGTCTTTATCTCCATCACTGCTACTTGGTTGGGGGGGGGGGGGGGCTCTCCTAGCTCCTGTGGGGTTATCAGATAACCGGGGGTAGTTTCAGGATCCCCTAGGCACTTAGCACATGTCTCTGTCATTTGCCACTTCGGGAGCCCTCGCTGAAGGCTGCCTTCGGACAGACACGGTGTGAGGCTTGTGGATCTGCCAAACTTCTTTGCGTCTGGGCGACCCTCTCTGCCAGAGTGCAGCTCTCTGTGCCGCCGAGCTGAGGCTGCGGTGATGTCCTGACACGTCTCTGTGGCTGGTCTGTGTGGGTGGTAGCAGGGAGCCGTCATCCCCTCCTTTGGGGGGTAGGGGCGTGGATGGAGATTCCTGGTGGAGAACCAGAACATTCCCAGTGTCCAGCTGCCCCTTGTTTCCCACAAAGACAGCTCTCGGGCTCTGCCTTTGAATCCGGGAGTGGACAGGGATGTGTCTGGGCAGACATTCTTCCTGGATTTAGGGCCCCACCGGGAGGGAGGTGGGCGGGAGGGGTTCAGGCCGTGCTCTGCTGATCCCACTGGGGGACAGGCAGCACCAGCATGGGGCTTACTGGGTCCTTTGCATCTGGGGTTCAGACCAGCGTCCGGAGGTACCTCTGGGTGCAAACAAACACCCACCTGTTGAAACTAGTCGAGAGGAGGAACGGGGTCTGGCTGGCAAGTGTCTCCCAGGGTCCCTGGCAGTTGAGTTCCCTGTCTATTTCCCCATTTTGTGCGTTCAGTTCGGTGTCCTGCTCGCTCACCTCCGAGCTCAGCCACAGAGAGGCTTGCATTGGGCAGGCGGGTGGGAGGCTGAGAGACTGCTGGCTTTCCTTTTTTAGTCCTTTGGAATGCCAGCAGCCAAGTTGCTTTGCTTTTCTGGAACTCTGCTTTGATCTGCTCAGTTACTGTCCCCCATCCCTACCTCCCAGTCTCAATGTCTTCACCTTCCAATATAGACATACATGTATGTATTTTATGCTGGCCCCCCTCTCCCCTCCCTTCCCCCCGCTTCTTCTTGGCTGTCTACCATACTGTTGTTCATTGTTGGGATTCTGGATTTGTATTTTATTTCATCTGCTTGTCTGTCTCCTCCCCCCTCCCTTCCCCCCTCTCTCTCCCCCTCCCCCGCACCCCTGTAACCTCATGCCCTCCTGGATCCTGAAATCAGTACACACTTGCCAGATGGGGCCAGGGGCCTGTCCTCCTTTGGTTGTGCGTACCCCTGCCCTCCCCCCCCTTTCCCCAGCTCCTGCCCTTCCATGGAGCTCAAGGAGACCAGAAGGGGGCAGGCTGTTCCCAAAGTCTGGTGTCTCCCGAGCTTGGGCTGCAAGCTGGGAGAGGACCAGACCGGTTTGGTTTTTTTTCCTGCCAGTCACTGAGGCCCTTGCAACACGCGGTTTGTTTGCAGACCCTGCTGAGGCGGCTGGCATGGTGCTTTGGAGCTGGATTCAGGAAAGGGACATTAAAAAAAAAAAAGAAAGAAAGAAGCCCTGTGATTTTCCAGATGGCTCTTGTAAAGAGCGGGCGAGGCACGTGCTGGGGAGATGGTGCTTCATCTCGGCTCTGTTGAAGTCTGGGGCGGGATGGGCACTGTGGCTTCCTGCGCGCAGACAGGATCTGGGCCCTGGCGGCGGCGGAGGGGACGTCCCAGAGAGCGCCAGGCAGGCACGGAGCGTAGAGCGTGTTCTAAACCAGACCTTGCCCCCTTCGGCCCACCCGCCCGGAGCTTCTGCACTGGGGCCTTTTATGTTTGAGGAGCTGCAGCCCTTTCGAGGGAGCGGAGGGCATGTTTGGTACATTTTTCGAAAACAAGAGGAAACACCCAGTGTCTCCAGCAGACAGAGACAGAGAGTGCTAGCATGGTGGCAAGCTGGGCATATCCCTACAAGATTTGCAAACTTCCTCTTTCCTCTCAGCTTCTTTCAAAGCTCTTAGCTATTAGAATTATTGGCTGGATTGTCGTTCTGTGGCTGTGACACTGAGTTTTTGTGTGTGTGCTTTTTTTTTTTCATTGAGTCCCCAGTAAGCTGTGGATTTTACTGTCATTTTAGAGTCTAAGAAACAGATGGGTTCACCTATGAAGGGAGGGGACGGTGGGGACACTTGTCAAAAAGATCAAACTACAGTTCTGAATAGATCTGGGGAACGTGAAGGACGGTTGTGTGTGTTAATGTAAGGGATGTTTATTTTTCCCGCTTTGCCTCCGGTGAACTTCTTGCAGTTTATTGCCTGTGCCCTTAGATAAATTGTTACTCTGTAAGTGTCATCGAAGAAACCTAATTTTTATTACCCTTGAACACACCCATACACAGACACACTTAAAGTAAAATGGTTTCTGTATTGTCTGACCCTTTAGAAATGTTGATTTTTTTTTTCTGCAGAAATTCCTCATACTTCACATTGCTCAGATAACTCGGGATGTTTTCAGACACTGGCAGCCACTTTGAAAAATCGGTTCACTGTATGCAGAATGCCTCTGGTTCTAACAGCCTCAGAGGCGTAGCTTTTCTTTCTATCCAAATGTTTTGAGACCGCAGAGAACAGAGGGTATTTTATTGATGGGTGTTTTTTTTTCTCCCTTCACACTCTCAATGGAGTTTTATTTTGCTTGAGCAATGCATTACACTTTGTATACAGAAATATGCATCATCGAACAATATTTACCTTCCTGCAAATGTTGCCATCTGCTTAATCACATACTGGAAAAATGTTAAATAAAATAGATAAATAATAGGAGAAATGATTATCACACACACACACACACACACACACACACACACACACACATATATATGTATATACAGGGTGTCCCCCCAAAATGTATACAAACAATGTCTGTAGCTTCTATTACATTTTGAAAATGAAATGTATTTTAATAAACACTGCCTTTATACTTATTCAAAGTGTGTATATAGTATGTGTGTGCATATATCTATACACACACACACATACATACACACATAGGGTGGGGCAAAAGTGGATTTGCAGCTGTGAGTATGTAAAACAGTTTATTCTTGTCTCATTATTCATTCATTATTGCATTATTTTCCATAGGAACAACTGTAAGCCTACTTTTGCTCCGCCCTATATATACTTTCCTCCAGTCTCTGCACTTTAGACTTTCTCTCTAGTTTGTCAGTTAACAAATGAAAATCTTCCAGAGGTTGAATGACAAAATGCCTATTACTGTTTTCCAGAAAACAAAATGTCCTTAAGAATATCGCTGTGGTAGAGGTCTGCTTCCTGCTCAGAGCTGCGTGTGGTCCGTGGGCCATAAATCTGGGGGCAGAAGGACTAGCATGCGCGGTGCCAACGTGACTCACTGCCTGGGATGAGGCCTGCCTCCTCTCTGTCTTTTGGTTAATACTGCCCTAAGACGTGGCACTGAGGACAGCTCTCTCCTTTGTTTTCCTTTGTACCTCCTCATTTTTATTGACCCTGGTCCCCATCTATTGGAAACAAAGAGAAAATACTTTGGGGGGGGGGCGGGGAGGAGAAAAAGAAAGCAATCACAAACTCAACCCCTGCAAAACCCAAGTTTAAAGGGAAGGGGTGTGAGCTATTCATTTAAAAAGAAACTCATAGTATGTTTGAAAATAATCAATTTTTTTTTTTTCACAATTAGCATCCATTTTCCCCAACCGAATAGAGTTTGAGAGAAATCCAAGGCAGTAGAAAGCATCATCTCCTGTGTGTCGATCCTTGGAGCAGGATGGGGTGTGATATGGGGAGGACTGTAACATTTATTAAGTGCCAGCTGTATGCCACAGGCATCCTTTGGTATTTTGTGTATGTTATGCTCACCCCTCCCCCCCAAAAAAATACAGGATGGAAAAAGGTGTTATCCAACTCAGAAACTAAGGACATTTGGCCAGAAATTGCTGGCCTTACGTTGTCGATTGTGTGGCAGGGATAATGAGGGCTTTGCAGAAATTACCTCACTGT